GTAACTACAACGATAAAGCTAATTAATTGTAAGACGTCTAGAGACCATAGTATCACAAGTAAGAAAATCATAATATTTCCTTAAATTGTACATAATCGCAATTGCTAGAACTTTCATCATCAGCAATATATCTCTTGACTTAGGATTATTATAGTAGATTAATTCTTCATATAAAATTGTGACTGTGCGTGATGCTTGGTTCACATACTAGCTAGCTGCATTTATTTCGCCATTGAGGACACCGGTTCTTCCACTACCAACATGTAAACATTAGTTTGAATTGAAGTGAATAATATGCAATGATATATTTCCATTTAAAGATGCAATAAGTCGAAAGTATGAACTTAAAAGCTTTAGTTGTTATGAAAGATAATTAAGGTGAAGAAAAGAAGCGAGAAGGCACAAGGACACTAGATGATGCCCATTTTGGTATTGGTACACATGCACATGCTTGCACATGTGTTCCGGNCAATTAGATCTTGTTTTCCATGTGGTTCGGTATCTCTATATACACTTATGCACCCCATTTATATACACGTCATGGTCATGCCAATCGTATCCAAGTCGNCATCATCCAATCCATGATGATCTTCAATAATGCAAATTTACATTCTCTCTTTGTCCAATGGCGACACTTACATAAATGTGTATATGTTTCATGTATTATATAAATGGAAATATTCAAAACAAAAGAAAACCAATGAGATTGACATAAATGGAGATAGTATGAAGAACAAAAAGGAAAATTTCTGTTAGTGTAGTAGACCACCTTCGCATTTGACAATAATTTGATCGACATCAGGTAAAATGACGTTGTTGCCCACCAAGTCATGAGCCTTCAAGGACTCCTTGTTCCAATCAGTGTTATAGACAACGGTCAAAATGGAGATTGCACAAGCGANCTGGGCTCCAAGCAAGCCGTAGCAGAGGCCCATGAAGCCTAGGCCCCACACAAAGGCTAAAACCACAGCAACTGGTGCTCCAACTACATAAAAGGCGTAGAAGTTAATCTTCGCCCCTACACGTGGNCTCGCGCTGCCACGTAGGATCCCACAGCTTGTGGTCTGAGGACAGTTGGCAAGCTCACAAGCTCCTATCACCGGAAGAACCGCCGCCGTTAGCTCCAGGACAACTCCGTCCGCCGTGAAAACTCTCCNCCAAGCCTCTCTCCCCACNGTGGTCGCTACAAGACCGAA